CAGATGAGACAACCCCATCAACAGATGACAGATATTGAGAACATTTTGAAGACCCTAACTATATTCAATTTAATTAGCAATCATGCTGATAGCTTTAAAAAAATGCTGAAAAAAAGTAAAGGGCACTAATAATAATAAGTTGTTTAGAGTGTGTTAAATCAGTCATGATGCTACATATTTTGCTTACGATCTGCTAGCTTTCTGTTTTCCTTGTCAGCTGGCTAATATTCCTGACATTTGAATAAAAAATTGTTGGGTTATGTTTTTTATCAAATCTTCACCAAAATATGGAGGCAATACCTAGGGAACATCATGGACCTTTGACTAAATACAGCAGAGGCATATATACATTAGTCTGTGTGATAACCACTTTAAATATAATATACAAACAATCAAATTTAATGTGATATTGATTTTTGTGAACCAATCACAAATAAAATATCTCACACATTGTAGTTTACTGGTCTGAGACAAATGTAAATAATAATGGCCATCTGCTGCTGGCAAGACATATTGTACAAAGTTTGACCATTCCCTGACAAGATGGTGATCAGGAAACTACATTGGTCAGTTTAAGGTAATTCCTAAATAAGGAAATAATAGGCCTCTCTGATGAACCAGCAGATGTAGGCCACCTGTCCTAATGTTTAATTACATCACTGACCAGCCCTGGTCACTCACAATGGCCAGCAACTCAAACACCAAGAATGTAGTTTGTACACTGGACACAAAGGACCACTGTTATAGCCTATGTTCATAACCAAACAACATCAAAATTTCAACAATCAACAACAAACCCTTCCCTATCTATAATCATATCTACGGCGTAACGAAAACTTGGTGAATTCAAATCTTGTAAATAGTCCTTGAACCTCAAATCAAAGTGTATGACAATAATACAGTTTTACATAAATGATTCCGAAGTTGACTAGGCTCTGAACATCTGGACCCAGGTGCCCAGTAACTGACCACTGTCCAATGTAACTAAATATTGAGGTCATTTATCTCCCATTAGGACACCACCAGCTGGACACTAATTAGCAAAGCCTTTTCTGTGTTTGATCTCCACTTGAGAGCTGATCAGAGGACAGAAGATGACTCTTGTGTTTATCTACCAGGTGAAGGTCACAGACCAACCACACTGCAGGTGATGTACCCTGGATATAGAGCAACAAACAGGGCTTTCCGAGATTTAAAATAAATAAATATACAACATTTGCTATAGCGCCCTATCTATCTAACATAAGCTTAAGCCACTCTAAAGCGCTTTACAGTACATAGATATACAATTTAATACAATAAATACAATTAGCATATACATTAATCAATACAATTTTTTGAGGAATTCACAGGCACTGCCTTATCAGGCGGTAACTACTAGTCCTATACCACCTGGCTAATATCTCCCTATGTGTGTATGCCTGCGTGTGTGCTGGAGATGTATTGTGTTCTGTTTGTAGTGGGACCGTACTTCCAATGGTATCATTTATAGTGCCACCTCACTTGAATGCCACAGCACAGATACCGCAACATCCACCCCGGACCAATTTATACTCCACCTGGGTTGTTGGAGTTGTGTGGGCTGGAGGAAAACATTCTCTGAATATTCCATGCATATGACAACTTCGGGGATTGAACCCCGGCCGCCTGCGCGGAAGGCCGGAGTGTGAACCACTCGACCAATCCTCCCATATCCAAAATGTCCCTGTGATAGACAGATTTATAAACAGTGGCAAACCCTCATTAAGTATATCTCTTAACTGTTTTATTTCATTTTAATTCACATATATCCATATAATAATTAAATTAATGCAGACAATAATTTTACCAAGAGCAGCCCTTAGAGAAGCAATATTCATACAATTATTTCATTACCCTTATTTAAGTTGGACACACCTTGCTCCTAACTAGGGGAGTGGGAACTGCATCTTACACTCTGACCAGCTCACAGCTGATGGGCTTTATACAGAAACACTCTGAGGAGGTCTTCATCCAAACTGGTCCTTGGACCTGTAGTTATCTCCCTTACATCCCTATCAGGTACGTCTTCTCCCTCGTTAGGTGTATCTGATCCATTAGCTACAGGTAATATCTAAACAGGTGGTATTCTCCTACCTAATGGTCACATTCCATTAATTCTTATCATTGATTTTCTATTGTAATTTACACAATGAGCTATAATGATTGATTTTCTCTCAGCACGAATGATAGACAGATGGACAGATGGAAGAATGACCTTGAGAGAGAAGGATAAACGAGACAGTTAAAGGTTGATGGTAAATACCTATTTTCACTAGGTACTAGGTTCTAGAAACAGGGACTACAGATACAGACCGAAAACGCATACTAAAATGAAAGTAGTCAAGTGAAAACATTAAAACACAACAATATAAGTATTGGGTGGCCAAAAAGTCAGAAAATAAAAGAATATGGTCAAAAGAGAACTGATTTGAGCGAGCTTGAGAATTGCTGAGGGACAAATACAGTGCTAGATAGCTTACAAGCATTTCTTGAGACACCTGGTTCAACTGTATTTTTTCACAATGGACCATTTAACGACATACTAGTGATTTATCCCAGAGACGGTTTGAACATTAACAGTTCTGCAGCCATCATGCAAATTTATTGCATGTGTTCCTGTGTGTTCCTGTGTGGACATATGATTTAAAGCACTTTTCAATATGTTTTCTCCCATGACTAAGTCAGGAAAATGTTTGAATTATACAGATTAATTCATACACATTCTAAAGTGCTCCCATTACACAGAAAGTCTGGTTTGAAATTAAATCTGGAAAGCACCATTTGGACCATTTTCAAACACATCAATGAAAAAATTTCTTGAATTATTGTCCTTACAAAGACAAGATATACCAGTCTATCACATGACAGATGGATCTGAAACTTGAGTATAAAACATACTTCCAGACATCCCAGGGTTCCCTCATACAATATGTTACATCACTACAAGGCTCTCAGTTATTTTTATAGAAACGATTTCTCTAAATTGCCTATAAAGTATTAGAAGTGTTTTAACCCTTTCACCACTGTAAGCCATAATGGACTCGCCGTGACAAATGAATGGTAGAGTCTACTAAAGTTATCTAAGGGTGAAAGGGTTAACTGAACAAATGAAAGGGTGACCACTGAATCTGACCAGTCTTATCAGCCTTACAGCTGGTCAGTCTGATAATTAACATATCTATCTGTGTCTATAATCATACTACATACAGCTAGTCTGACACTCTTACAGAGAAACGTATGGACAAGTCTACCGCTGGTGAATCAAGTACTCTAGATAATTTGAAATTTCTTTCAATACTTATATTGAGTTTATATCATTTTTCTGATTTTTGAGAGATGTGGATTCAGGATATTATATATATAGGGTGGCACATCTCATTACTGTCTCTTAATAGGAAAAGTTATCTGAAATGGAGTATCAAAGGAATGATTTATATAGTCAACAAACATTTTCCAGTTAGTTAGGAGTGTGTGCGTGTGTGTGTGTTGCAGTCAGCTTAGAGAATAAATACTCTGTAATGACAAAATTAACAGAGTATGGTAAACAATGCAGACAAAGAGCTGATATACTATTGATAAGGTGGTGAATAGGTTTCCCCACTTCTCTTTCTGTCTTCCCTACCAATCCCACTCCAGACAAAGAGCTGATATACTATTGATAAGGTGGTGAATAGGTTTCCCCACTTCACTTTCTGTCTTCCCTACCAATCCCACGCCAAACACACCAACACCTTCTCCTTAGTGTATCTCATATCATCCCCACCCCCCTCTCCTTCTGTCTTTCCCAACTTCCCCAATCAATACACCCCACTCCCACAGGTAAAGATACTTTACAGACCAGTTCACACATAGAGACCTCCTCCCTCCTTTTCTTCCTCTTCCCCATCAGTTTATCAAACTCTACTTCAGCAACATAACATACCTCATTAGCAATCTAGACCCCTTCCCCAGACTGACAGCTTTCTCTCACTAGAGCATTGAAAGGAAACTATTGTTCTATACACTATGCATACTTTATGTATTTGTCTGAGGGAAACACAAATGTTTGTTTCTCTATCTTACTAGAACAAGACTGATCAAGTGCAGACAAATGGCCATGTTTCTATATATACAACAAAATCAGCCCATTCATCAGGGACATCAACAGCTTTATATAAATAACTCAAAGATGGAGTCAGTACTTGGCTCCACTATAAGTCCTTTAATTATTCACCATAAGGAAAATCAATAATATTACATGTGAGCAAATTAGACCTCCATCAAAAGACCAAGTAGAATGTTATTTATTCAATATAGATATGTTGTCAGCATATACTACCAAACAATTCAATGTTAAAGGACCTTAACTTCATACCACATAATAGTCCCGACTTATCAATCGTCTTCATTCTACCTTCCTCACTCTTCTGTTTCAGTCTGTTAACTTCTGACAACCTCCTCATTATTCTCCCCCCCCCCCCCCCCCCCCCCCCCCCCCCCCCTCTTTCCAGCCTTCCTTGTCAGTCTCCTGACCTCCAGGTTTCTAACATGATCCTGAGAGCCTAAACAAGTTTGTTAACCTCTTCCTAGTCCTTACTTTATATCCAAGTACCCAAAGCCTCCTTCCCAACATTGTTAACTTCTTACCCTAAATCATTGCTACCTTTCCTCCAAGCCTCCTTCCCAACATTGCTAAAGTCTTACCCTAAATCCTTGCTACCCTTCCTCCAAGCCTCCCTCCCAGCATTGTTAAAATCCCCTTCATCCTTGCTACCCTTCCTCCAATCCTCCCTCCCAGCATTGTTAAAATACCCTTCATACTTGCTACCCTTCCTCCAAGCCTCCCTCCCAGCATTGTTAAAATACCCTTCATCCTCGCTACCCTTCCTCCAAGCCTCCTTCCCAACATTGTTAAGATACCATTCATCCTTGCTACCCTTCCTCCAGGCCTCCTTCCCAACATTGTTAAGTTACCCTTCATCATTGCTACCCTTCCTCCTTCCTAGCATTGTTAAGTTACTCTTCATCCAGGCCTCCTTCCAAACATTGTTAAGTTACCGTTCATCCTTGCTACCCTTCCTCCAGGCCTCCTTCCTAGCATTGTTAAGTTACCCTTCCTCCAGGCCTCCTTCCTAGCATTGTTAAGTTACTCTTCATCCAGGCCTCCTTCCAAACATTGTTAAGTTACCGTTCATCCTTGCTACCCTTCCTCCAGGCCTCCTTCCCAACATTGTTAAGATACCGTTCATCCTTGCTAGCCTTCCTCCAGGCCTCCTTTCTAGCATTGTTAAGTTACCCTTCATCATTGCTACTCTTCCTCCAGGCCTCCTGCCTAGCATTGTTAAGTTACCCTTCATCCTTGCTACCCTTCCTCCAAGCCCCCTTCCCAACATTGTTAAGTTACCCTTCATCATTGCTACCCTTCCTCCAGGCCTCCTTCCTAGCATTGTTAAGTTACCCTTCCTCCAGGCCTCCTTCCTAGCATTGTTAAGTTACCCTTCATCCTTGCTACCCTTCCTCCAGGCCTCCTTCCTAGCATTGTTAAGTTACCCTTCATCCTTGCTACCCTTCCTCCAGGCCTCCTTCCTAGCATTGTTAAGTTACCCTTCATCCTTGCTACCCTTCCTCCAGGCCTCCTTCCTAGCATTGTTAAGTTACCCTTCATCCTTGCTACCCTTCCTCCAGGCCTCCTTCCTAGCATTGTTAAGTTACCCTTCATCCTTGCTACCCTTCCTCCAGGCCTCCTTCCTAGCATTGTTAAGTTACCCTTCATCCTTGCTACCCTTCCTCCAGGCCTCCTTCCTAGCATTGTTAAGTTACCCTTCATCCTTGCTACCCTTCCTCCAGGCCTCCTTCCTAGCATTGTTAAGTTACCCTTCATCCTTGCTACCCTTCCTCCAGGCCTCCTTCCTAGCATTGTTAAGTTACCCTTCATCCTTGCTACCCTTCCTCCAGGCCTCCTTCCTAGCATTGTTAAGTTACCCTTCATCCTTGCTACCCTTCCTCCAGGCCTCCTTCCTAGCATTGTTAAGTTACCCTTCATCCTTGCTACCCTTCCTCCAGGCCTCCTTCCTAGCATTGTTAAGTTACCCTTCATCCTTGCTACCCTTCCTCCAGGCCTCCTTCCTAGCATTGTTAAGTTACCCTTCATCCTTGCTACCCTTCCTCCAGGCCTCCTTCCTAGCATTGTTAAGTTACCCTTCATCCTTGCTACCCTTCCTCCAGGCCTCCTTCCTAGCATTGTTAAGTTACCCTTCATCCTTGCTACCCTTCCTCCAGGCCTCCTTCCTAGCATTGTTAAGTTACCCTTCATCCTTGCTACCCTTCCTCCAGGCCTCCTTTCTAGCATTGTTAAGTTACCCTTCATCCTTTCTACCCTTCCTCCAGGCCTCCTTCCTAGCATTGTTAAGTTACCCTTCATCCTTGCTACCCTTCCTCCAAGCCTCCTTCCTAGCATTGTTAAGTTACCCTTCATCCTTGCTACCCTTCCTCCAAGCCTCCTTCCTAGCATTGTTAAGTTACCCTTCATCCTTGCTACCCTTCCTCCAAGCCTCCTTCCTAGCATTGTTAAGTTACCCTTCATCCTTGCTACCCTTCCTCCAAGCCTCCTTCCTAGCATTGTTAAGTTACCCTTCATCCTTGCTACCCTTCCTCCAAGCCTCCTTCCTAGCATTGTTAAGTTACCCTTCATCCTTGCTACCCTTCCTCCAAGCCTCCTTATCTTATTACAATGTATTTTGGCATATTGTAAGTTCCTATTGTTGTCTTCCAAGTTTTCCTTGCATATTTATTGAAGTTATTTTTTTATTTTTTTTTATTATGACAGCCTCCTTGCCAAGTACCACTAACATTTTACCCATCCTCCAGGCCACCCCTCTAACTTTCAGCTTCCTTACCATCTTGCTGTGGTTCTGACAGCCTCCTTCCCAGCTAACTACTGACTATCCTCCTTCTATCATTATCACACCTCCTCCCCCAGTCTCATTACTGAGGTTCTGACACTTACAGTCTCCATCCCAGCAGTGCTGCTGACCCTACAGGAGGTTGTCAGCAGCACTAATTGGTTGCCATGGAGCCCTTCACCCTGGAGAGGTCACCTTCACACTAGCAAAAAAATCCATACTACCAACAAAAAAAATGAACGACAATCAGTGGTCCAGTATTCAGTGACCAGAGATCTCTGTAATTTTATCAATGTTTTATAATGATGTGAATCCCCAACTACACTGACAGCTAGCCACATTTTGGTCAAATTTTTTTTTAAGACATATTTAAACATTTTTTTTATCAATCAGACCATATATCTGGTTTACTGACATACTGTCTTATCTGACCAAATGATCCAGTCTTGCTTGATGTCAGTAATATCTAGTTTATACTGACACACTGTCTTATCTGACCAAATGATCTAGTCTCCTTTGATGTCAGTAATATCTAGTTTATACTGACACACTGTCTTATCTGACCAAATGATCTAGTCTCCTTTGATGTCAGTAATATCTAGTTTATACTGACACACTGTCTTATCTGACCAAATTTTATGTCAGTAATATCTGGTATACTGACACACTGTCTTATCTAACCAAATGATCGAGTATCCTTTGATGTCAGTAGTATCTGATTTATACCGACATACTGTCTTATCTGACCAAATGATCAAATCTCCTTTGCTGTCAGTAGTATCTGGTTTATACCGACATACTGTCTTATCTGACCAAATGATCAAATCTCCTTTGCTGTCAGTAATATCTAGTTTATACTGACACACTGTCTTATCTAACCAAATGATCGAGTATCCTTTGATGTCTGTAATATCTGGTTTATACTGACACACTGTCTTATCTGACCAAATGATGCAGTCTCCTTTGATATCAGTGATATCACATTTATACTGACACACTGTCTTACTTGACCAAATGATCCAGTCTCCTTTGATGTCAGTAATATCACGTTTATACTGATACACTGTCTTATCTGACCAAATAAGCCAGTCCCCCATATCTCAGTTTAACTGTATGATATTTTAAAAGACCACACAATTTTTGCGAGTTATTGTAATAAGTCTAGAGAAACTTTCAACTTGATCAATGTTTTGATAGTACTAGGGTTGACCTTGTCACTATATCATAGTGCTAACACACATGTGTTGTGACAATTGTCTTCTTGGTATGATTTGATTACTATCTTACAACTTTAGACACAGTCATTATGACTTTGTCACTAATGTTGATTGTTTTCTATAAACTGTAACTTTAGATATAAAAGGGTCTCGGCAAACATCAACAATAGATACATTTGACCTTGACCTCAACTTTATCAAGCAGACACAAATGTACTACAGCTATCTAAAACATGAAACAGCAGGACCAAAATTTGAAAAAAGTGCGGAAAAAGCATGCAAACAGAAGACGGTGTAAGTATAGATGAAGTTAGTTACCTGGAAAGAGTGTGGGTATGGTGACATCTCCCGTGGCTTCTTGAGAATTCCGCGGAGGGGACGGCCATCATCCTGAATGGAAAGTCTCCTGGGGTACTGTCCTTGGTGCCTATAATTTGTGCGAGGGCACCGTATCACCTGGGCATAAATCGGACTGAAGTCCTCAGGACGATCACTCTGAGCTGGTGAATGACACCTGATGAAATCATGAAACTGAGCGGGAGATTGTACTCGGCTCGTATTATAATGACCCTCCACGGGTGAGCGACTTCGTGACACATAATGATCCTCAGCCGGAGAACGACTCCTTGAACCACGGGTCCTATGACTAGGACCTGCTGTATAAATACTTTCTGTGATGGGGTTTTTAAGAGGTAACCTTCTCCTAGGTTGCGCCACCTGTTTGCTGCGTACATACTCTTCGTACTCACTTCTTAGGTAATAATTACTCCGTGGTTGACACTTTTCCGGGCGAATTGATCCGATCATCTTCCCTGAAGGAGGCATCACCCGCCTGCCGTTAGTATCTGACCGAATCACATCCCTGGGTCGCGACCTACTACCGTTTCTATTGGTACTACTGTTACCTTGGTTACTACCTACTTCTGGGTCGTCACCACCTGTCCCGCCCCAGAAACAACTAAGAAATCCATCTCTCATCATTCCGAACATTTAGACAGTGTTATGACTCCAGAAGGTATCAGAAAATTAGCAGTGTAGTAAGGAAAAAGATCATTTTCCTTTCATCAAAAATACTTAAATTTTGTTCAAATATGAATTTGTACAATTCCTTCACATATAATTAAGACTGGAATTGTAAATGTCTTCCACAGTTTTCCAATAAAATGTTGCTTAAATCATATTCAAACACAGCAGAAACTTTGAAGCAACCACATGCAGTCATACTAAAGCAGATTGCAAATTGTTTAAAACTTCAAAGTATATTTATCTTCAGGGTATGATGACAAATGTAATAAAAGTTAACTTTCCAACAAAAACCGAGGAGAAATCTTCAATTGCAATTTACAACAAAATGTAACACTGTTTTTTCTCCAAACAAAATTTGTCCTGCAATGCGAAATAAAAGTCTGTAATGCAGCAGATACCATAACTCCATTGGAACCCCTATGTAGATTGAATAGGGGTAGGAGACCGGCCCTTACCCTACCCCCTGGCTCCTATGAACCCTTTTGAGGACACTAGACACCCACATTCTGTTGCTGTGGGGCCAGGGGTTTCTGGATAGAGGGGCCCATGGTTGACTCGGCAACCAGAGAGTTTCCATTTAGAACACACTTCCTGTTTGTGAGGGAACACTGGACACCCTTGCGGGCCAATCCTGGCCTTCCTTTGATGTTAGAGACTCCACCATCTTGGATCATCATTAAGGGACAATGGTCCTGGTATCACTAACCACTGTAACCAGAATAAAGCAGAAGGAATGTTGAATGTCCTGTTAAGCTAAATCTGTACACAAACTGACAACACTTGTCAACTTTTGCACAAATCCTTAGCCTACATGACATTTTCCAAACATTTAATGCCCACAATCTATAGAACTAGTTCCAACCTGCCACCATACCATCAGCCAAATGTCTGCAGACATGTCAAGATTGCTGTGAAACTAACAACTGAACCAGACTTGAATCTTAAATTATCAGTCCATCAATTAAGTCATACAAATTAATACCATCACCAGAAACACTTAATTAACACCCAAAAATTTCAACGATTCAGCAGAAACCAAAATCAATAGCGATTCACTTTTTGGCAAATAATCGTTGTTTATGATCAAAATATCAACAAACACATTTTTCTTTGACGCCCAGTATGAACAAGAAAATTCTGAAACCTTTGAATTGACCCTTAGCTGAACAGATGCAAAAAAGCAAAATCCAAAAGCAAAAACAAGGGAGATAACCCAATGATCAGGGCCTAGAAGGTAAACAGTATGATTGGCTTGAATGCAAACCCCTCCAATTATGATATAATTTCAAAACAATTGATATTCAATCTTGACAGTGACCAGAGGAGTTCAAAATCATTATTTGTAGAAATGTTTCACAAATGAATACTTGTAGATTTGAAGGCGTTTCCAAACAATGACCTTCTAATAATTTCAGAAAATGTTCCTTCAACATTCACAGAGAACAGCTGGAGACAGAATAACCCATACAAACTTGTTTGATCTTGAAGTCTATTTCTGAATATACTTAACCAATTAAACCAATAAAATGGCACAATAAAATACCAGGAAAAACTAACCAATAAAGCAAAAAAGTCATACTGAGATGAGACGTTTATTTGTAAACAAATATATGTTTGGTAATACAGTAAACACTTCTGTAAGCATTCAGACAAAACCCATTTACACTAAATCGCCAGTATAGCATGTCATTCCTACCAGGAGAATTTTCCAACTTCAGTACAGAAATCCATTTCTTCTGATGGAATTGACACCCAAGTCATGATCTGTCTGGAAATGTACTGATATGGAAATGTCAAAAAAGTCATTATTTTACAAAATTTAAGGCCAAATCATCCACATAGCATTGTCATTACTCAAAAAGCCCATTTGGATCTTAAGAAAACAGGGCTCGCTGTCGCAAAACATCCAAAGAATTTTTCAGTCCATAGTACAGAGAGTTTTGGAGAAATATCTAAGATGAGAGTAAATAAACTCTGTGACAAAAATGTCAAAGATGCCTTAATTATTACTTGGTTAACTCAAAACCATGCCATTCAAACATTAAGTTGACTTTGAAGATGAAAAATTAGACCATAAACACAATCAAAGACACCGTCAACACTTTCAGAAAGTGAAGAAAGTCTTCCAATGATACTTTTAACGTCCGACTTCCTTATAAATGTTTTGTCTAAGTTGAATTCTGACCTAACAGCATAGAATGTTACGTTTTATGAACCTTGTTTTAATATCAAAACATTTAAGTTAAATATTAAAAGTAATATTCAATTTTGTAATATCTCAATACACAGCACATTTAGCTTTTAAACACAAAGGGCCTTTTTATGGGGACTCTCTGATCCTAAATTTAACAAATGTGTTTAACCCAATAGAATAGAATTCTATAGTTCATTATTGAAGTTGACACATCTGAATTTCAGTCGATTAACTACCTCCTTCTATTCCGTCTTTGCCTATTGCAGAGTTATCTTCTCTTGGGAGCAGGTATTGATTGTTATGTCATTGGTTTGTGCGAGAAAATTATGTCGTTTTCTCAAAAATTGATGATGTTACTCTCACAAACAAGTGACGTAACAATTAATACCTGCTCCCAAGAGAAGAACAGAATTTTGTAATTCATAACTGAATTTCGGTACATCAGAATTTCCAGTTAGTCACCATAGAATGTGATCAGACATTCCAGCCCTAGCTGTGGAGTGGATTCAGTGGCTGCGAGGTATTTCAACAGATACGTTACCAACTCTACTAGAGCCAAATCGCAAGCACGAACAATGGTCTGTAAACAAGAGGCCCATGGGCCTTAACGGTCACCTGATATATTTATACAGAGAGTTGATTTCGTTTTTAACATGAACAGAAATATTATTCAAAGT